ACTCGGACTTCTTCTAAAGCCTTGATGACTTCCAATGCGCCGTCAAATGACACGGTGTGATGGATGTTAGGGCTTCAAGAAAGAAAACAATGCAACGCATTACAACGTGCGTAATCTTAAGTACAGCAAGTTTCAGTATAAAGCAGCTTATTCTGTACGAGTACAAATGCACAGGAACTGTCTTTCAATATGTCAGAGAGTTGTAAGATTTCGTTTGTGATTTTCATGGAATATAAAACGCCAGCGATGCTCTTCTGCGTTGCGACGTCACGTGGTTTTACGGGTGAAGATCAACATTTTCGGACGAAGCGATGGAGGTACATTTCTCTGAAATGTTGGTTATCTACCTGTTAAGCCCACATGGCATTAAACCCAGAAGAGAAATACCGACATAAATTCTGTTTATCACTGGATTAAATGTTTAAGAATCCAAGTAAAAGTATCTGAAAATGCTCATCACAGAAGAGTTTTCAAATTCGTATAGAAATTCCCACAAATTGCATAAAGTGCACACGTGCACCCCATTACACTATACAATGGTTGTCGGAAACCTTAACAACCCAAAGAATGCTTCCGATGTGATGGCTCGCATCACGAGTACGTTCTATAAGAAATATCGGTACTCGTGGGTTATCGGGACACGTCGTTTTAAAAATAGGTTAGGTTAGGTTAATGTGTGTGGCTAAATGACATATACTTGAAAGTTATTATATTTTATTTCAATAAATGACAACCTAACCTAACCTAACCTATTTTTAAAGCGATGTGTCCCGATAACCCACGAGTACCAAAATATTTTACAGTCGTAAAAAGATTTATTAAGTTCATTAGTTCTTAGGGCTACTTAAATCACTTTATATTTTTGTCCAATAAATAAAAATAAGAAGCATAGACCAGAAGCTGAAGTGAGCCGTTAAATACCTTTCCTTCTGGTTTTACTTGATCTTCCTAATGCGAAATTAAAAAAAGTCAATAGTCAGATCATTTTAAATACAAGATGAATTAGAGAAACGTTCATCAATATGGATTTTACGATAGTTTTAATTCAAACACATTTTAATTAACCTTACTACTTTCAAGGGAAAAATCAAATTCAAAGCGAATATCATACATTTCTTTCCTAGGTAACTCGTAAAAATATAAATAATTCTTGTACGTGACACGACGAAATCACATTAACTAACCCGTGAATAACGAAGACTCACCGAATAGTTTTCGTAGCAACTTTCTCCATGATGTCCATCAGTATATGCTGGTATCTTCCCTGTTGAGCGCTAGATAACATCCACGCTTGTTCAAAGAGGAAACCCAAACTGGCACATCGCAAATACATGAGACGAGAATTTGGAGGGTCCAACTAGAAAACAAAAAAATAAATAAACATCATTAATGAATTTAAGCTTAATGTAAAACCATGCGAGCATCTGTCGGTGTTGTGGGTTTCAACACCATTTGAGCCTGTACGCAGATACAGTATTTTGAATTAGCGTAACTGCCCCCATCTTCTAGGCTGAAGACGGATGCTGTATGCTAATAATGTTTTTCTGGGTTCTGGCACCAAAACCCATATCGACATCTTCACTGCCGTGAAAACCTCAAATATCACGAGGAGGCGTAAGTTCCTACAAAACATTGATTTCCACCTTCAACATCATGCGACGCTACAACCTAGGAGATGAACAACTAAATCTTCACTGTGAGGTTAACCCCAAATTTCATTTAAGATAGTTAGAACATAACTTAAGTCGAACAGCACGCGATTTTCATCCCCAGAGGTAAAAGATAAAATTTATGTACATGTTTAAGAAATTAATCTGAAATTCTAATGGGTAACTCCTTGTGTAAAAATAAGTAATTATTTATACAGTTTATGGTATACGAGCCAATGTCCGCGAAGTAAGTGCAGGAGGAATCCCCAAATGCACTCCTCTCGGGAAATACATATTCAATGCCTGTCTATATTTCTATGCTTCTATGCATCAATCTCAAATTTGATTTTTAGGAATTAAAATTACCCCTGCATGTGGAACTTCCAAAACTAAGAAACACATTTACTTTGTGTAATGTTTTCTCCAATGAATAAGGTCCTCGGAATACAAGATGATGGATCAATAAATATCAAAATTCTAAATTCAAGTACATTTTTACAAAATTCGACCCAAACCCAACCTCTAGAAGGCAAAAGTTCTAACTTCACGGAGCTGAGTTCTGGTTCAGAAGCAAACAACCATTCAGAGAGTTAAGAAATTCAGTGCCAAGTCCAAAATGGAGAACAGAAGCAAAATGGGGACGACAGGGTAAAAACATGTAAGAAAAAGAAGGAACATGTGAATAAACTGAGGAGATGAGAGGAGACAGAGATTTTACTTACCCAATTTTTTGGAATTATTTATATAAATTTCAATAACTGTTTATACGTCGATACCCACCTGCAAATTGGAATTTGATGTAATCCACCTGCCCCCAACGGCTAAACACGATATTACATCATGTTTTGAGGGCAAAAGGTTAAGAGAATTCTGTAACCTGTTATCATAAATACTGGAGCTCTGTAAAAAACAAACAAAAAGCATGTATATTCCTTCTATTTTGTTGGTAAATTTTTTATTCAGAACAGTTACATTTTCAACCTTGAACAAATTAAAAATAACACACACAACTGCATAAGTAGCGCGTCTCCACAATTTTTGAGCAGGGAAAGCCTTTCTCTTCCAACAAACATAATTAAATAAATATCTCGCACGGTTTCTAAATTAAAATTTTTAAACACTTAGACAGTAATCAGGCTGATTATGCTTTAAGTCAATTAGTTAGCAGATATATTCTATTAATTTCATCTATTTTGCACATCGGTAGGACTCCTCGGATAAGTGTTCAGTCCATCGCGAGGCCTCTACCCAAACAAACACAGAAAGACGCAGACAAACATCCATGCTTTGAGCGGGACTCGAACCCACGGTCCCAGAGGCCGGGCGCACGAGGTCCATGCCTCAGACCGCGCGGCCACTGCGGCCGGCTAGCAGATGATTTTCAATTACCTAGGACAGACACACGTGGATGGATATTGACATACAGATAAGTCTT